CTGGCAAAGCACAGGGAACAGGAGGCAGGAGAGCAACAAGATCCCGCTCCCGGCTGCTCCAGCTCCCAGCCCCGCAGCTCATCCCCATCCTCATCCCCATCCCATCCCCATTCCCCATCCCCATTCTCTTTCACATCCCCATCCACATCCCCATCCCCATCCCCCATCCCCATATCCCCATATCGCCATGCCCATATCCCCATCCCCATACTCATTCTCCATCCCCATTCCCCATACCCATCCTCATCCCCATCCCATCCCCATTCCCCATCCCCATTCTCCTTCCCATCCCCATCCCCATTTCCCATCCCCATCCCCATATCCCCATATCCCTATCCCCATATCCCCATCCCCATCCCCATTTCCCATCCCCATATCCCCATATCCCTATATCCCCATCCCCATATCCCCATCCCCACACTCATTCTCCATCCCCATCCTCATCCCCATTCCCCATCCTCATCCCCATCCTCATCCTCATTCCCCATCCCCATCCCTATTCCCATCCCCATCCTCATCCCCATCCCCATTCCCCATCCTCATTCCCCATCCCCATCCCCATGCTCATTCCCCATCTCCATCCCCATCCCCATCCCCATCCCCATTCCCCATCCTCATCTCCATCCCCATCCTCATCCCCATTCCCCATTCCCCATCCTCATCCCCATTCTCATTCCCCATCCTCATCCCCATCTCCATCCCCATCCCTATCCCCATTCCCCATCCTCATCTCCATCCCCATCTTCATCCCCATTCCCCATTCCCCATCCTCATCCTCATCCCCATTCTCATTCCCCATCCTCATCCCCATCTCCATCCCCATCCCCGTCCCCATCTCTATCCCCATCCCCATCCCCATTTCCCATCCCCATATCCCCATCCCCATATTCCCATATCCCCATCCCCATCTCCATTCCCCATCCCCATCCCCTACCTTCTCCTTCCCTTCTCCCTGCTCAAAGTCCAGCACAGCCCACCCAGCTCTGGCTCCTTTGGAGGGAGCTCTTTCCCTTTTTATAGGAGCAGTGATTTAGCAATTACTGCTTTCCTGTAAATCTTGTGATTTTCTGCAGCAGTGTGAAAGTGAAACTGCTGCTGCCTAGTTGGGAGTGAAAGTTTTTTGGTGAGATGTGAACTTGAGGGTCTTGGAAGTCTTTTCCAACTTTTTTCCTTTAGAGAAGGAAAAAAAGAAGAAAAGGATTAAAAGTTGTTGTTCAACGTGTAGCATGGGACGTGTCTGCCGTTCTTTATTGCAGCACTGGTCATTTGGGGGATACTTCCTCCAGTCAAGTCTGACAGTGTTGGATGAACAGAGCTTTTATCATACACACTGATTGCATATTCATTAGATGTCCCTGCATACTTGACTTTATTTTACACAGTCACACCCCTTACCAGGAGTCCTTATGTGGTTCCTGGGGGTCTGTCTTTAAAATTCCATGTCCTTTTTAGCGGCATGTTCCTTGATCCTCATTTTTGAGTAAGGGAAACATCCTTGGTTTGCACAACTTCTGCTTTGTCAGCCTTGCACAGCTGAGCTGGCATCCTGCTCCCTATTTTCATGACTTCTGTTTGCCTGAGTTACATCCTTTATCTGTTTCTCCAAGGCTGTGCTGTTCTCCTGTCCATATCAAATCCCTCCTCTTCATTATTCTAAGTTCCTTGTGGGAACCAGTCTCTTAAGATTTTTATTTCCTTTCAGAGTGTAAGGCATTAAAACAACTGCAACACCGAATCTTGATGCTGGCTAAAACCATACAGCAATTATTAAGGTGGTGATTATAAACAGATGTTTCACCAGGTCCAGCTGGGTACCCATGTAGGACATTTGGTCCAGATTTCTTCAGATCTCCAGGAGGTGGCATCTTGAGCTGTTGGTCTTGAAATTTGGATTTGTTTCTAGATTTCCTGGACATCTGTAGACACTCTACAGTGGTTTTTGGTCAGTGAATACACAGCAACTGGAGTTATTTACAGTCCATGTTTCTCCTTGTGATGCTAAAACAAGGTCTAGTGCCATTTGGTTTTGTAAAACAGCTTGTGACAAGCTCTTCCCAAGGGACTTGGGACCTTTTAATTCTGGAACAAGGTATCCAAAATTTTACTTTGTGCAGTTTCAACGCAGTAAAAGTTGTCAGCAGTGCTTGGAAAGGTCCCTTCCACTTTGGTTGGAGTGGAGCAGTTCCCCAGCCATTCAAACAGACCCAATCTGCTCGTTGGAACTCGTGCCCTGGTGTGTCCAACCACTGCAAATCCTGCAAGGTTTTACTGAGAGAAATGAGGTAATTATTCAAATCAACCTCTGCTTTTTAACAAGTGTGTTTCCCGGAGTGTGGCACTTGGTAGGGTCGACCACAGAGCAGCTCGTAGGGGCTGATTTTGCTGGTGCCCCACGGCTGAATTCTGCTTTGAAGTAGAGCACCAGGTAAGGCTTGGACCCAGGTCAAGGAGCTTTCCTGACACATTTTACCCAATTGCAATTTGATTGCGTAATTCACTCACTCCACTTTGCCACTAGCCTGGGGCCTGTAAGGAGTGTGAAGATTCCAAGCTATTCCCAAGGCTTTCCTAAGTTGTTGCTGTGCCACTTCTGCAATAACATGGGAATCTGTGTCTGATGACATTCCCAAAGGTACCCCCAATTTCTGATTTATTGTATTTTTGGGTGTTTATTTGATTTGACAGTACTTTAGTCACTTCCCTAACCTGGTTGGTGTGACAAGGGAAGGTTTCTGGCCACCCAGAGAAGGAATCCACCAGAATTTTATAATTCTGGATTTATACCCCCCCTTCTCTGGGCAATTCAGTAAAATCAATCTCCCAGTGTTCACCCAGAACATTTCCAGGTTTTATGGCTCCCAGTATTATTTTGTTAGCCTTGTTAATGCTGTTTCTTTAACAAACTACAATTTGCTGGATTCCTGATTGCACAATCTGAGCCATCTCAGACCGAATTATAGATTTTTACAAACGTTTTTAAAGTTTTTCAGCTTTCCAATGAGTGTCTTTGTGTTTGTGACCCCCTATTTCACACAAGATCAGTTCTGGGACTGCTTTCCATCTGCTTGGGGTAACTGCCCAGCCTCGTGGATCAGATTTTGCTTCTAAGGTTCTGCTGTCCTTATCAACCCCTGCACTGGGCAGGCTCTGCGTTTTTGGGGGGTCACAGCGATCTTGGGGCTCCTCCAGCACTGTTCCTGCATGTGTTGCTCAGTCCCAGCTGCTTTGTCCTCACACGGCATCTCCTCTGCTCCCACAGGCTCTGGGACATCCACAGGGACATCATCTTCACTCTGAGGACAAGGGGGAAGGTGACACTCTTATAAATAACTGTGTAGTTGTTGGCTTTCGCTATTGTATTGTCTTTTGCAAATTATTTTGTGCTGTTTGTAATCACCTTTTAATTTTTCATATAATATAATTTCATATTATTTATTATATATTATAATATATAATATATTATATATAATATATACAATATATATAATATATTATAATATATATTATATATTATATATTATATATTATATATTAATTATATACATTTATAATTAAATATTATATAATATATAGTATATATTAGAATATAATATTTATTATTCATTTTCATGTTTATTTCATATAATATTTGTCAGCCTTTTATGTTTAATACCCTAATTCCAGCGTAGATTATATATTTTAGTGTGATAAATATACTATAGTTTAAGCTCTCACAAAATATTAAAATAGAGGCTATGTGCTGTGTATTATAACATTAACTGTTGCAGAAATAATTGTAGTTGTGAAATATAACTAATGCTTTTATTTTTGTAACTGACTGACAATAGTGAAATAACTAATATTGATTGAAAATACTTGTAAAAATGGCTACAATGCCTGTATAAGATAACATTGAAAATAACACCAAAAGAGCAAGGAGGAATTCACCACTGACTCTTCAGCTATAAATAATTGTCAAACCACGGACCAGGGGCCCTTGTGAAGAAATAAAATACAAAACTCTCAAAATCACATCTGCACTGTGGCACATGATCTAAGATAAGGTCAGGAGTCAAACTAAGCTAAGGAACTGCAGGAACAAATAAACTCAAGTGAATTTTGAATATTTCTAATCTTCGTGAATATGTATTTGACCAATGCTATGAAAAATATATGAGAGTTGTTCTAGTTAATAGTACAAGTGGCTATGGCTGTACATCCAGCACTCTTATTTTTGCTTTATCCCTTTTATCCGTTATTAAACTTCCAAAAACTTCGAAGAGTGTGTGTTGGTGTTCACATGGAAGAGGGAAGAGATGAGAATCTGACTCCATGTTTCAGAAGGCTTATTTATTATTTTATGATATATATATATTATATTAAAACTATACTAAAAGAATAGAAGAAAGGATTCCATCAGAAGGCTTGCAAGGAAAGGAAGGAAAATGGAATGATAATAAAATCTTGTGACTGGCCAGCAAGTCTGAGACAGATGGGCTGTGACTGGCCATTAATTAGAAAAACCACATGAGACCAATCGCAGATGCACCTGTTGCAGACATCTTTTATGGAAAATCCTTTCCTTAGGATTTTTCCTCCTGAGAAGCTGAGAGGCTGCAGGAACAAAATGTAAACAATGGTTATCTGCTGCTGTGGAATGCAACAGGTGCATCTTTGATTGGCCCATCTTGGATATTTGTAATTAATGGCCAATCACGACCCAGCTGGCTCGGACAGAGAGCCGAGCCACAAACCTTTGTTATCATTCCTTCCTATTCTATTCCTAGCCAGCCTTCTGATGAAACCTTTTCTTCTATTCTTTTAGTATAGTTTTAATGTAATATCTATCATAAAATAATAAATCAAGCCTTCTGAAACATGGAGTCAAATCCTCATCTCTTCCCTCAACCAAAACCCCCTGAGAACACCGTCACAATGCACCTGTTGCATTCCACAGCAGCAGATAACCACTGTTTACATTTCGCTCCTGAGGCCTCTCAACTTCTCAGGAGAAAAAAATCCTAAGGAAAGAATTTTTTTATAAAACGCGTCTGTGCCAAAGAGCGAGCCTCGTTTCTCGCAGCACCATCCATCCCCCGGGCAGCGCAGCCCCTGGCGCGGCACGGGCGATGCTCACCGGCAGCGATGCTCCGCAGCTCCCGCACCTCGTGCCGCAGCCGCAGCCGCAGCAGCTCCCGCAGCAGCTCCCGGCGCCGGCCCCGCGGGGCGACCCCCATGCGCCGCAGGGAGCCCTCGCTCAGGCGCAGCAGCGCCCGGCCCGTCAGGGCGTGCTCCCGGGCCAGCTCCGCCGCCCCGCCGTGCGCCGCCAGCCACGAGCCCGCCTCGGCCCCCGACCACTGCCCCGCCGGGCGCTGCGGCCCCTCGGGCACCTGGCGGGGAGGGGAGGGAGCTGGCTGAACCGTCAGGGTCAAGCTGCCACCTCTGTGACACAGTGTCCCCCCACCCAGACTGAGCACAGCCCTTGGTCACATCCCTGCACTGCTCCCTGTCCTCAGGCCATGGGGTCCCCAAATCACTGCCTGTGCCTGTCCCCCATCCTTCCCCCCGGGGATCCATAAATAACTACTTATAGGAATAGCCTATCCTTCACCCATGGGGATCCCCCATCCCCTTCCCATGGGGGTCCCCAAGTCCCTGTCTGTGCGGGTCCCCCATCCTCCACCCCAGGGCATCCACAAATAACCACCTATAGGAATCCCCCCTCCTTCACCCATGGGGATCCCCCATCCCCTGCCCATTGGGGTCTCTCAAATCCCCACCCATGGGGGGTCCTCAAATTCCTGCCTGTGCGGGTCCGCCATCCTCCACCCACAGGGATCCACGAATAACTACCTATAGGAATTCCCCCTCTTTCACCCATGGGGGTCCCCAAATCCCTGCCTGTGCAGGTCTTCCATCCTTCCCCCCTGGCGATCCATAAATAACTGTAGGATCCATAAATACCTGTAGGAATCCCCCCTCCTTCACCCGTGGGGTCCCCCATCCCCTGCCCATGGGGATCCCTGAAATCCCCACCCATGGGGTCCCCAAACCTCCTCCTGTGGGGTTTTACATCCTACCCCCATCTGGACAGCCAAACACCTACCCATGGGGTCTCCCATCCTCCACCTGTGGGTATCCCACACACTTCATTCTTGGGGGTTCCCAAACTGCCACCTGTGGGGGTCTCAGGTCCCCATCCATGGATTTCCCCCCTTTCCCACTACTGAGGTTCCCTGGCACCCCACTGCAGCTGTCCGGGGGGGTCCCCAGCCCCTGCCCGCTCTCACCTCAGCCTCGGGGCTCCCCTCCTGCGGTGCCTCAGCCCCATCCTCCGCCGGGAGCTCCATGTGGGGCCGGGGGCAGTTCTGGCTCCCTGCAAACGGGGCTCCGTCAGCGGGGGCGGCCCTGGATCCTGCCGGCCCCACAACCCCCAGCCCTCCACCCTGGCAAGCCACCACCCCACGGTCCCTGCCGTGGGCACACAGTCGGGAACTGCCCCACTCCTCGATGCCACCCACCCCGTGCCCCCCAGCACAAGGGGCTGCTCCCGAGGGTGACACGCCGGTGACACCGGCCCGGCTCTGCCGTGCCCTGAGCCCGCAGGGGACACCGGCACCGCCCGGCCGGGACCTCTGACTCCTTCCTTCTTATCCCCCCTCTTCCTACCTCGCTCCGGCTCCGTGCCCAACACCACGAGAGCCCAATGAACCTTTGCCCGGGCGCTGCCTCCACGGGCACAGCCCCGGGCGTGCCCCGAGCGCTGCCCCACAAACGGCCCCGCCGGGCACAAGGGACCCCTGGGCATGCCAGGAGCCGAGGCACGGGGCCGGGCGGGGCTCGAGTGGGCTCCATCCGGACCGGGAGCGGCGCAGGAGCTCAGCCGAGGATCCCACAGCCCTCCCGGACCGCTGCCGCCAGCCCACCCCGCTACCCTGCGCACCTTGCACTCCTCACGGGCACGGGACTCACCGGAGCGGCTTCAGCCTCGGTGGTGCCGGTCGATGGCAGCGAGGGTCCCGCAGGCGGCGGGGACGCGGGAGAGGCAGCGGCGGAGCAGGGGAGGAGCGGGATGAGCCTCCGGGATGAGTCACATCCGACGGGCTGCAGCCCTGCCCGGCCGAGCGTGTGCGGACCGGTCCCGCCTGCAGCTGCCCAGGGCGCTGCTCTGCCCCCGCAGCCTGCAAGGGGTTAAACCCCCCCAAATAACACCTGCAGGGTGGGCAGGGCACGGCTGGAGTGCCCGTCTCGGGAGGGATTCAACAGCAGCGTGGATGTGGCATTTGTGGGTCAGTGGTGGGGGAGTGGCTGGACTCAATGAGGAGTTTTCCCAATTTTCTTTTCCATCTGTGAAAAATGCATGTATTTTATGATTGGCTTTTCGCAAATATTCAAATGGATATTATATGTGTTGTGTCAGAAAGTGATGCTGTGTTAATTCCCTTAAGCACTGTGTTAAATATAGTTTTAGGTTATAAAAATTTTTAAAATAGAAACTATGCTACGTAAGATGCTTTGTTTAAAAGAAAGGACTTGCAGCAAGACAGCAGCCACAGGACACCTAAATCTTTCAGAGAAAAAGAATTTATTGCCTTCTTATTAGAAGAAACTAACTTCTTTCTGCCTCAAAGGTGCTGTTAGGATTCAGAAGAAGAAGTTGACACTGACCAGACAGAATCCTGTGTTTGAATGGAATTTATGCATCATGCATGAGGTGTATGAATATGCAACAGGCTATTACTTTTAAGGGTAAATCCTTTGTTAACGGGCGTCCTTTTTCAGGCTCGTGATGCCCAGAAAAAGGTACCCAGACGTCCGTAACTCCTTGTTTATATTGTCTCATATTGTCCTAACCATTTTATTACTATTAAACTTTTAAAAATTTTAAAAACAAGTGATTGGCGTTTTTCACACATCCTAAAAGGTTCTGTGATTCTAAAGCAATCCCGGCCTTTCTCTGGCCCTGGCAGTTCCCCTGTACCCCTGGAGCAGTGCTCTTGCACAAGATTTCCAAGGAAGAATAAACAGGACAGCCCGGGTGCTGCACCCATCTCTTATCTCAGCCGAGGAGAGCCAGGCAGCAGCTGGTGGGTGGCAGAAACTGCTTCTGTCAGAAAAAGCACTCAGAGGTGTTTGTGAGGTGATTTAGGAGAAACTCTGCTCCTTGGCAGGTGATGGCAGCCACCTTCAGCATCATGAAGCCAGGAGGGAAAAGTGAAGAAAATAATGAGGAAAGTAAAAGAACAAAAATCTCATTGTCCCAATGCTTGGGAGAAGGACAGCCCTGCACACTTGAAGGTTGTCAACACCTCAGAGCCCCTGGCAGGGCCTGAAGGGGCTCCAGGAGAGCTGCAGAGGGACTGGGGACAAGGATGGAGGGACAGGAGCCAGGGAATGGCTCCCACTGCCAGAGGGCAGGGCTGGATGGGATCTTGGCAATGAGGAATTGTTCCCTGGCAGGGTGGGCAGGCCCTGGCACAGCTGGGGCTGCCCCTGGATCCCTGGCAGTGCCCAAGGCCAGGCTGGACATTGGGGTTGGAACAGTGGAAGTGTCCCTGCCATGGCAGAAGGTGGGTTAGGTGACCTTTACAAGCCTCTGGCCACTCACACCAGCTGTGATTCCATGATTTCAGAGAGCCAACACCTGGTGTCAGCTCAGCCTCCAGCACAGGAACAGTCCCCAAAGCATTTCAGGTGAAGGGAGGGAAAGAAAACAGCCAGAAGTGGGTTTTGTCCTGATTTATTGCAGTTCCATCAGTGACATTCATTTGTCAAATGCAATTTGCTCATTCCAACAGCATTTGGACAGCGTGGAGCAAAGTGCCCCCTCAGAGCCCAGCTCAGCCCCTGGGACTGCCCCTGCTGCCCCACTGAGCTGCTCCTCCCACAGCATTACCTCCCCTCTTAGCCCCTCCACCTCCACTGCTTCACGTGCTCCTGATCTCCAAACTTAATTCTCCATCCAGAGCTTTGGAATAACTTTTGTTCCCCCGTGGGAGAAATCCTGAAGGGTTACCAGAGGGATCAGACAGTTACAAGGAGCCTGCAGAGACTCAGAGCTGTGTTAACTGCTCCTCTCCTGGAAGTGGAATAGAGCGTGCTCATTACATAAAAATTACTGGCTGAGTAGCTAAAAGGGATTGACAAAGGCCACAAATCCCCTCTCCAAGAAGGATTGGGTGTAGGATTTATTAGTGCATTGAAATGGCATCGCCAGGCACAGGGTGGAGGGACAGCACTGCCAGGGCTGTTACTGGGGGTAGAGCTCCACGATCATCGCGTGACCCTGGGGACAGACAGAGACAAAACAGCACAGGAATGGCTCATTAACAGAGACAGGACTAATTATTATTGACACAGACTCCTATCAAGAACATGAGCCACAGCAGCTGGACATGAGCCCAGGTGTGCCCAGATGTGCCAGAGGCCCCTGGGCTGTGCCAGGTCTGGGGGGACAGCAGGGCCAGGGCAGTGCCCGTCCCCTGTGCTGGCACTGCTGGGGCACCTCCAGTGCTGGGGGCAGCTCTGGGCCCCTCCTGACAGGAGAGACCTGGAGGGGCTGGAGCGTGTCCAGGGAAGGGAATGGAGCTGGGAAGGGAATGGAGCCCCAGGAGAGGCTGAGGGAGCTGGGAAGGGAATGGAGCCCCAGGAGGGGCTGAGGGAGCTGGGAAGGGAATGGAGCCCCAGGAGGGGCTGAGGGAGCTGGGAAGGGGCTCAGCCTGGAGAAAAGGAGGCTCAGGGGGGACCTTGTGGCTCTGCACAAGTCCCTGCCAGGAGGGGACAGCCAGGGAACAGGGACAGGACTGAGGGGTGATGGGGGCAGCTCTGAACACGCAGCACCCGGAGCTGGGCTCCCCGGGCAGGATTGCAGAGTCCCAGCAGGACCAGCCCTGCTGTTCCTGCCCTCTTCCAGGCTGGGGCACAGCACCATTACCTGCCCTCCTGCAGCACAGGCAGCCACCAGGCCGTACTGGCCCCCCTCCTTCTTCAGCCTGTGGGCAGCAGTGATGACCAGGCGGCAGCCGGTGGCCCCAAAGGGGTGTCCCAGGGACAGGGAGCCCCCCCAGGTGTTGAACTTGTCCAGGGGAGGGGCTCCAACCTGCAGGGACACAGAGGGACACACTCCATCTCATCTGGCTGGAAGGGGTGACACTTCATCACCCCTAATCCCAACACCCAGCCTAAAGCAGCTCAGGATGATGAGGGGATAAAACCACCCCAAAGGATAAAACCACACCTGCAGCCCCTCAGAGGAGCCCTGCACTGTGCAAGGGCTGAGCCCCCCTCACTGCCCTCCCCACCCTCCTCTGCAGGGACTGTGGCTCTGGATCTCCACAGCGGCTCTGGATCTCCACCTCCTGCCGACAACGGGAACAGCAGCCCAAGGAAATCTCATGTCCCAAAGAAACTGCATAAACTGGGATTTGCTAAGCCAAGCTCAAGGAGCATCACTGCCCCTCACAGGACAGAGCCAGAGCCTGGCTGTGCAGCACCAGCACTGGCAGGAGGGAGCCCAGGAACCCCAAAGTTGAACTGAACTGCAGAGAAAAGTGGGTCCAGAGGAGACCCCAGAGCTGCTCCCAGGGCTGGAGCCAGGCTGGGAGAGCTGGGGGTGCTCACCTGGACAGGAGAAGGATCCAGGGAGAGCTCAGAGCACCTGGCAGGGCCTGAAGGGGCTCCAGGAGAGCTGCAGAGGGGACAAGGGCCTGGAGGGGCAGGACAAGCAGGAAAATGTCCTGAGTGTGCCTTACCTTTGACCTCCTGCCCATGTAGTTCTTTGCAAACCAATCTGAATCCATGGCTTTCAGGTTAGCCAGGATCTGGCCCTGCAAGGGAGGAGAGGGTGACATTGGGAACAACCCAAGGCAGGTGGCTGCAGGGAGCCATCCCAGCTTTAGAGCACTTACAGCAAAGGCCTCGTGGAACTCAAACACGTCGATGTCACTCATGCTGAGCCCGGCCTTCTCCAGCACTTTGGGGGTGGCATAGGTGGGGCTGAAGGAGGGAAAACACACCAGTCTTGCATCTGTGTTCCCTGTGAGCCCCATCCTCCCTTTCCCACAGTCACATCCTTCTCTCTGGGCTCATGGCCCATGCCTGTCCAAGGGAGACACAGCCCCCAGAACTATTGCTGAGGGGCCCCAGCAATCCTGGGGTGTTCCTGCCACTGCTGCTCTCCCACCTCGTGAAGGCCTGGAGAGATTCAACATCTCCTGAGGCACTTCCCAAAACCCCATCATGGCAGGAGAAAGGCTGTTGTGGAGCAGGGGCTGTGGGGGATGCTCTCCATCTCCACCTACCCCAGGAGCAGCTGGTCCTTGGGATCCTGGGACACGTACACGAAATCCCTGTGCAGGAAAAGGGCTGTGAGTGCCAGGGAGAGGAGAAGGAAGCAGGAGCAGAGGCCACTGGAGCAGCCCCTCCTACCTTAGGTAGGCCTTTGGTTTGTAGCCCATGGCCAGGGCCTTCTCCTCAGACATGATCAGCATCGCCGACGCTCCGTCGGTCTGGAATGGCAGGGAGAAAGGTGAGGTGTGAGGGACCTGCACACAACGAGCCCCAGAACCCCCAGAAAGAGAGGACCTGAAACCAACAAAGCCTCCAGGACACCCCACAATGACAGGAACCAAAGGACAAGGCTGCTGGATTGAGGGGGTGGAGGGATGGATGGTCACTGGTGATGCCAGCACACACACAGTGCTGAGGCACCTCCTCACAGCCCACAGGCACAATTCCCCTGTTCCACCCAGGACAGAGGAGCCTGAGAGCCCTGCTAGGCCTGGGACAAGCTGGTGACTCCAAACACTCAGCTGTCCTCCCAGCTCCATCCCAAAAATGAGAATAATTCTGGGATGACACAAGCCCCAGGCTCACCACATGACAAAAATGTGGGTTATTATTAAATCCACTTATTGTGGGTTTGGCACATCAAATCATGGAATGGTTTGGGTTGGAAGGGACCTTAAACCACATCCAGTTCCATGGGCCATGGGCAGGGACACCCCCCTTTGCTCCAAGTGCTCAGAGATTTTACCTTTTATATATGTGTAGCTTTGTAGAATGTTTAATGCTTTGCTATAACTTCCAGTGCCTTTCCAGCAGTGAAAAAACTCTTATTGATGCATTCCTAAAATATTGTTTAGTCTTTCCTGTTACTCCTCCAAGGAGATTTTATTTTGCACAATGTAATCACAGACATGATAAAGGTAAGGTAGGAGATGGGGAGGAGAGCTCCCATGGGGCACAAGCCAGGGGGGAATCACTTAACCAACTGCTCCTCTAATTGGACAATAATGGCTGGATATTCTAATTGCCCCACCTTGTATTAAATGGTATAAATCTAATTCAGGATGTGGATTTTTGCCACATTCTGTACCTGAAGGCTTTCAAGGAAAGGTTTGTTTTTATTCTAATGTTGTCTGGCAAAGTTTGTGTTCTATTTCCAGGCATCACAAGCCCCAATGTCCAGCCTGGCCTTGGGCACTGCCAGGGATCCAGGGGCAGCCACAGCTGTGCCAGGGCCTGCCCACCCTGCCAGGGAACAATTCCTCATTCCCAAGATCCCATCCAGCCCTGCCCTCTGGCACTGGGAGCCATTCCCTGGCTCCTGTCCCTCCAGAGCTGTGGCTGCCCCTGGATCCCTGGAAGTGCCCAAGATCAGGCTGGATAAGGCTTGGAGCACCCTGGGATAGTGGAAGGTGTCCCTGCCCAGGGCAGGGGGTGGCACTGGATGAGATTTAAGGTCCCTTCCAACCCAAACCCTTCCATGAATCTGTGAAGTTCAGATTAAACCCATTGACTCCAGCTGTACAACGTGACCAACCCCATCCTGGGACAGAATCC